CGAGGGGCTGTATATGAGTGATGTTCTGCCCGAGGGGCTGTTTATGATTTTATCACTGAATTACATCGCATTGGCATGCACACATGACATACAGGCATAGAGATGTATTTTTCGTCATGCTGTACAACATCACATCATTCATGATTTCTCACACATTTTTGACAGATGGGCATAGTGATGCATTTGTTTTACACGGGTTATCCGGAAGGAAAATGAAACATATTATTTATTATTGAAAGGATTTTTGGAGACATTTATTGTTTTAGAAATATTCGTATTATTGACAATTTCGGCAAACGATTTGGGTTTTCACTGATGTATTTGAAAGAAAGAACTACCATTTTTGAAACCATTATTTGGCTGAGTATTTTATCTTTGAGTTACTTCTGGTATTATTTGCTTTATGTTGTTATAGATTGTTGTGGACTATTGGTTTTGGACCCGACCTTGGTGGAAGCTCGTCACTACTTTCAACCTACGGCTAGGTTTGTTACTTACTCAGTACATGTGGTCGGTTGTACTGATACTACACTTCTGCACATTGCGTGCAGATGTTGGCTGCTGTTGTTACTGTGCTCGATAGTTGCGGGATTTGAAGATGTACCTGTTGTAGCTTCCTCTTGTTCATGGTAGCCTTAGATTTATAAAAGCTGTGTTTATGTATTATTCAAACAGACTATGTATTTATTTTATTTCCGCTTTGTATACTCTATTCTTAGAAGCTCATAATTTGTACTACTAGTTCTTGGGGGATGTATAAGATTAAGATGATTATTCACTTAAATTACTTTAATAATTGTTATTGGAATTGGATAATTGAAAGTTGCCTTACCTAGCGGGTTGGGTTAGGTGCCATCACGACTAGTTGGATTTTGGGTTGTGACAGTCTGCTCCTACGTGATCGCTTATGCGGTCCAACTTTCGCTCCTGCGCACTCGCACATGCGGAGCCCTTCTACTTATGCGACTCCAGTCTTGCCCAGCTCCTTCTGCTTCTGCGACTCCAGTCTTGTCCAGCTCCTTCCGCTTCTGCGACTCCAGTCTTGCCTAGCTCCTTCCGCTTCTGCGATCACTTCTCCGGATCTGCGACTTCGCAGGTGCGGAAGTTTCCTCGCACCTGCGTTCCCAGGTTGCTTCCACTAAAATTGCACCTACGATGGCCCCTACACACCTGCGTGACCGCACCTGCGGCCACTCCTTCCGCAGGTGCGATGACACCAGGCTTCAGCAGCAACAACATGTCCTCAATTCCAAGTTTCAATCCGTTTCAAACCCGAGGCCCCCGGGACCCCATCCAATCACACCAACAAGTCCCAATACCTTATACAAACTTATCCAAAGGCTCAAAACGCCACAAATAACATCAAAATCATGACTCGACGATCAAAATCTTTCTTTCAATTTTCAAACTTCCAAACTTTGAGGAACACGTCCAAATCATATCAACATTCCAGAATGATGCCAAACTTTACGTACAAGTCACAAATTATGATACGAACCTTTTTCAAGGCTCGAAACCCCAAACGGACATCGATAATACCAAATATCACTTCCATCAAACTTAAGAAATTATTAAACTTCCAAAATGCTAACCTTCCAAAATAGATGCCGAAATGCTCCCGATCTCCCGATACTCAACTCGAACATACATCCAGGTCCGAAATCATCATACGAACCTATTGGAACCTTTAAATCCTGATTCCGAGGTCGTTTACTCAAAAGTCAAACCTTAGTCAACTCTTCGAACGTAAAGCTTCTGAATTTAGAATCTTTCCTCCGAAACCACTCTGAACTTCCCAAAATTCAATTCCGACCACGCGTACAAGTCATACAACATGAAGTGAAGCTACTCGAGGCCTCAAACTACCGAACAACGTGCTAGAGCTCAAAACGACCGATCGGGTCGTTACATAACAAGTGTTTGGATATTTTCATGATGGATGCAACTTATGACCTTTGTCAGAACATGCCCACCAATGCTAAATGTTGATTCCAATGGTACAATGGTAGTATGAATACTAAGGCTTTGTTTTTTTTTTAAGATTAAGATATTTGAATATCAAGATGTGCATTAAGATTGAGTTATTTGAATTTGAATACACATCTGAATATTAAGATGTGTATTAAGATCTGAATACTAAATGNTGGTTGCTAGTGGTGGTGCTGGGTAGTAACTAGTGGTAACTGGTGGTGATGGCGATTATGGTTGAGGATGATGGTGGTGGGTAATAATAATTAATAATGGTGGGTGGTGATAGTGGTTGTGGTTGTGATTAAGGAAGGTGGTGGTAGTTTATAATGGTGGCAGTGCCGACTATTATTCTTTATGGTGATTGGGTGGTTAGTTGTGATAGTTGAGATGTATGAGTTTTTGGTTGAGAATGATGGTGGCGAAGGTAGTGAGATGGTGGGTGGTGGTTGTTGATAATGGTGCATGGCAGCTATGATTGAGGATGATGATGGTGGTGGTGGTGGTGGAGTATGGTGATGGTAGGTGGCATGGTGATAGTTGATAATGGTAGGCGGTGGTGGCAACTAATAATGAATGTAGATGATAGCATTTTAATGAAATAAAGTCTTTGTCATAGATCTTAATCTTACAGACCTATTCAGACCATTAAGTGGTTATGAAGTAAAAAAAAATAAACACACTTACGACCCGTTTGGCCATAAATTTTGTCAAAATATATTTGATTTTTTTTTTTTGGAAAATACATGTTTGTTCATAAATTTGATTCATATTTTGGCAAATTCCCAAATCCCAAATTGGCCCAAAATATTACTATTACATCTTTTAAAAATTGTTCCAAACTTTTGTATTTTATAAAAGAGCCCACCATTTATTATTTGTAACAATGCTGCTTCGTCTTCTCGGTCATCTGATAGTGTATTATGTAGGTCATTATAAAAATGATAATTTTGTACCAAATTTATTTATGTTCAGGACTGTGGTTTGTGATAATACAATGAATGTTATTGATGAAGGTACTATTGGGTATTTGTGTTAGTTTTTAGAACTTATGGATTTAAGTCATGTTTAATGTTTTTCAGCAAAAAAAGTGAAATATCTTTTGAAAACTCATGTCCAAACACATTTTTATCTTCAAACCAAACTTCACCCAAATCAGAATTTTCAAAATTAATTTGGGAATTTATGGCTAAACGCTAACTTAATGTCCCCAAATCTTCCCCAAGAAGATTTCTGTATAATTATTTTCATAAAAGGTAACAAATCAATGGNGCGGGGCGTAAGCCCCATAGGTATTTAATTTTTAATATTTTATAAAATAATATAATGACAGTTAATATTTATAAACAGGTAAAATTGCATAAAAATTAAAGAAAGCTATATATATGTATGCTCCATCCCCACAAAATACTAATCAAAACAATCTATTATACGTTACTTACAACTTACAAGCACAAGTAATTTGAGTCTAAAAGAATAAAGTTTTCTATATGGAGGAACAAAAAGGATGATTAACCTGCAATTTGAACTTTGAATTTGCTGCTATGAAGAAAAATGTAGTTCTCTTTGTATTTGTAAAAAAAATTAAATATTCGTTGCTTTTGGGAGATATTAGCAGACTAGCGGACAAGATAAAAAAATTAAAAAAACCATGAATTAGGGCTTAAATCAATAAAAAAGGTCTTTACTTTTAAATTTAATACTTTTGAGTTACTTTTTAAAACTTTTGAGTAATTACCCAACTGACTTTTGAGAATTTGGGTAATATATGAAGGACTAATTCAACAAATTTTGTTTTAATTTGAAAAAGTCTCTGGGCTTACTCCTTACTAAAAAAATGCGCCCCGAACGCCCGGGCGTACGCCCTGAACGGACGGACGTACGCCCCAAATTGCAGGGCGTACGCCTCTTGAGACTTTCGCCCCACACCATCGCGCGCGGGGCGTTTTTGGTACGCCTCGCCCCGGGGCTCGCCCCAGAAACGCCTTTTAAAACAGATATATATAGGGAGTATTAAAAGATTAGGAACTTACCTCTGAGATCGTTGAAGGGGCTCAACTCTAGCTTTTAGCCTCAAATACCCGTGGTAGTTGTTCTGTCACAAAATTAGCAATTTTAATCTTTTCCATGATTTCACAAAATTAAGGAGTTTAATCAATTATACTTGAAAAATGTAACTAATCAGAAAAAAGTGTTTTCTTTTGTGTAGTATACTGCATGAAAAAAGTTCAATTCTACCATGAAGTTAAAATATCAAGGGTTTGGAGTTGAGATTATAGACTGTGTAGTAACTCAAGAGAACGATAACGAATATGCGATGTGAAATGCTCATCATCTATAAAATGTAGGAAATGATCACATTCCTACTTTATTTCCATTAGGGCCAAAATTGTGCTTTTAGGCCCCCTATTTAAAAATAATCAAGATTATTGTTTCCAAGCATAATCAATGCTAAGTTCTACAAATTAGTGGAACCAAGTTAATAAGATGGTATTGCATTCCTGTTTTCCCATCAAAGCGTATACATTACTGACTATCTCTTATACATGAAACAAATGCAGATTATGATGATAAGTATGTTTCATGTTGAATAATAATTTACCAATTACAACATCTACAACAAGAAGAATGGTAGCAAAGTTTGAAAATGTTAACTTGACCTGTACATTACATGCGGTCGTGATTGTTGAGAAAAGAACACTAAAATTAGCAATGACTGAAAAGTTAATTTGATAGAGACAACATCACATCAACCAAACTCAACCAAGGAAAAGTGTTAAAACTCAAAGCCTTTTCTTTGAGTTTGGTTGCAACACAGTTTTTGAAAATAATCTTCTTTCCTAAAAAGAATAACTGATCAAAGAATGAAAATATTTAATTAAATTAATGACACGAAGTGAAAGAAAAAGAATCATCTTATAGATTAACTTTGTTTTCCAATAAAGAATCACTTACTGAATAATATTATCACAGCTAAGATGAAGAAAAGAGTACATGAATACTTACCTGAGTATCAGTGGCTGATTGGTTGGCTTCCAAAGTAGCATAGCTGCAACGTTTATATTTTTCAATTGTTTTCATCATGCTGTAAGAATGAAAATTGACATATTTAGCTAGTGTTTGGACATAGATTTGGTTGAAACGTGAGAAAAGAGTTTTTGAAGTTGTGTTGAAAAATAATTTTTGAAAGTTAAAGTTATGATTGAACATGAATTTTACTTGAAATAAAAGTTAAAGTTTTGTGAGTGGAGAAAAAAATTTCACCAAGAAACTACCCTTAACAAGTTTTTGGGAAGTTGACTTTTTTTCCAAAACCTAATTATATTCCCATGAATAAACAATGTTTTCAAAAAAAAATTGAAAAATAATTATAGCCAAAATCTATGGCCAAAGAGGAGCTTAGTAATTTCCGGTGACTATCTCCTCTTATTAAATCGAAATTCTTTTAAGTTTTTTGCATAAGAGATCTACTCTTCAGACAAAAACAGCAATATTTGTTCTAAATTTTTCTCTATACTCATGTAATACCAAAGTTCTCTGGTTGCGAATTTTGCATGTTATGAAGAATCCTAATACATAAAGAGATTATTTCTATCAATTAACAAACAGAAGTCATTGGTCAAAAGAATTCTCGTTTTGAATATATAGTGAAATAAAAGAAATGACTGGTGGAAATATATGTAACAGGTCTGGATTAACTCATGTTATTTAAATTTATTAACAAATATAAAAAATATAAGTGAAAATGTATCTATTTAATAATCAAACTGTATTGCTCAACATGGTTCAAGCACTCAAATTACCAAAATATATCGACTCCTGGTCACAAATATTGACAATTATCTGGTGGAAATTCTACTTTTAAATAATTGAGTACATTTTTTATAATCATTACTCTATTAATTTTTTTTTCCAAAGGGATTTAAAGCTTTGGCAGCTTCGAAACTAAGCAGCCTTAGCTCCGTCTTGACTCTTGGGAATCAAAGAACAAAAGTAGCAGTATTTGGACTGTCAAACATGACACCTCTGCAAATCAAATCTTAACAGTGAAATACTGTATGATAGTAACGTGGAAAATTGCTGATTAGGTTTTCAGAAATTTTGGTAGTTCCTTTAGCGAGTGGTGTTTAGTGCTCAATAGTTTCATTCAAAAGATGATAATTTTTTTAAATTAGAAATCAAATTCATAGAAATCTATCTGCAAGCCAAGAATGACTCTAAGGGGAAAGGAAATAAAATTTCAAAAATATTCAGGTATAAAAACTTATATAGCAAAGACTGTCCAGAAAAAATAAAACAAACAACATCAATTTTTACATATGCCAGATAGTTTAAAAAACAAATACTACAAGATGATAACAGAAAGAAGTAGATCCTCTGAAGAATGAAAGAAGAATTGTAAAATAGTTGATATCCCAAATGAAAAATCAAATCTTAAGTATAGAGAGAGAATTCGATCATATATATATATGTGGTAAAATTACGGCATATTAAGACAAATCAGATCTTGCATAAAAATTGAAGTGAGAGAGAATGGAACTCATTAAACTAAAGTTGATGAAGTAATTGAAAACCAGAAATTTGCAATTCTTGTTTTGAACTTCCACATATAAGGGTTTCGAAAAAAGCAGACCCTAGAAAACATAGAGAAGTAGCAAAAAAATATATATATAGAAAAGAAGAGGTTATTATATATATAAACCGAAAGAGATTTAGTAGGAAGAAGAGGTTATTTTTGTAATACCTTGAAGTGCTGCAGAACTCATAGAGTTTACCACGATTAGAGAAGATGATAAGAGCAACCTCAGCATCGCAGNGAAAACCCCCAACAATACCCTATTCGAAAAAAAGACCTCCTCTCACTTAAAACAAAAAATGAAAAGAATTAATAAATCAGGTTAATGATTATGTATTCTCAAACCAACCAAGTCATCAGCATCCTATGGATCTCACCTGAGGAATGCACATTTATATTTTACCCTTAGAGTCAAGTGGTCCGCATACCCTAAAAAGTGTATCTAATAATTCCTCTATATAGAAAAAAACTCTCTCTCTATATATATATATATATAAGTTTTATTTAGTATAAAAAATATTTACAAATTCAAATCGCTTATGAGTTAATTATATAGAATTAAATTATGGGATAATCATTAATTGATAAACTGGTAAAATATCTTCTTCTTATTCTTTCTTTTCTTCTTCTTTTCTTTTTTGCTTGAGCCAATGATTTATCGAAAATCGTCTTTCTATCTTCACCAGCTATGGGTTAAATCTGCGTACACTCTATCCTCGTCGAACCCTACTCGTGAAATTATACAGAATTTATTGTTGTTGTTGTTATTGTTGTTATTGATAAAAATGATACCTAACTCACTGTGATAGCTTAACTTTTAGAAGTATTGTAAGAAAAGAAATTACAACATATTTCTTCTATTTCAATTTAGATGATGTAGTTTGACTTGACACAAAATTTAAGGAAAAAAAAAAAGACTTTTAAAATATGTGATCCTAAAAGCTTAAGGGACAAAAGTTTTGTGGGAACAATGACATTGTGTGCTATAAATGTTTCTCATTAAGGGTAAAAGTGGATAAAATAAAAAGTTTAAAGTTAAATTGTTTCCAAATAAAAAAAATGTATAACTAATAAAAAGAGTATGTTATGTAAATTGAAACCGAGAGAGTATTTTACAGATGAATACAAGTATAGCCATTTGAGTGAGGAATGGGGATGAGGGCACCTAGAGTTACCCTACTTAGTTACAGTTAGCTATAACTAAGGGGTAGTCTGTATATTACTTACTCCCTCCGTTTCAATTTATGTGAACTCATTTGACTAGACACGGAGTTTAAGAAAAGAGAGAAAATTTTTGAACTTGTGGTGTAAAATGAGGCACATATATTTTGTGTGGCTATAAATCATTGTATAAAAGTAAATTGTTTCCAAATAAGGAAAGATGTCATTCTTTTTGGCACGAACTAAAAAAGAAATATGTTCACATAAATTGAAACAGAAGAGTATTACTTTCTAGATATTTTGCTTTTTGTGGGTTTTGGGTAAGTTAATGTATCACATCGCAATACCCATTGGATATGAACAACCACCTTAAAAGTGACATTCTCGACCTTTTACTCTCCGCTGCGTGTCGACGCTTCATTGGACGACTCTCCCCCTAATATCGTGAGTATTTCCCCTTCCCCGCGTTCTTTTTTTAACTTTCTTTTTCTTTCTTTCCATTTACAGATTTACTCATTATATTGTTTTGTCAAGGGCAACGGAAGCTTGCTCTTTATCTCCGGGAATCAAAAAATAAATAGATAAATAACTTAAACTTTCCCCTTACGCTTTTGAATATGCAAAAAAATGCGGGAGAGATATTAATGTCACGACCCAAACTAATTTTTGTCGTGATGGCGCCTATCGTGGAACTAGGCAAGCCGACTCATTTTCAAAACAAACCGATATTTTCATTTCAAAGATAATTTCAAGGTTATTTAACATAAAACCTCCATTTAAAGAGTTCAAATCAAAGAAAAATAGAAGTGCGGAAAAGAAAAGCCCGACATCGGGGTGTCACTAGTCATGAGCATATACTACAATCTGTCTAACAATATCAAGGTTAACTCAGCCCGGAAAATAGCTAAATACAACTAGAGGAAGATAAGAGGGAGAAGAGCAGGGGCTGCGATCGCCAAACAACTAACTTGCTATCTCTAAGAAAATCTGCAACCAGAACACTCAATAAATGCTACCATGTCCAGCTACACCTGAATCTGCACACAAGGTGCAGAGAGTAACGTGAGTATGCTAACTCAGTAAGTAACAACAATAAATAAAGACTGAGCAGTAGTGGCGAGCAATGAAGCATATAACGTTCATATCAGGAAAAATCTCAGTAAAATACCGCATGCTCTTAAAAATCAGGATTTGAATCAAACATCTCGTTTAAACCCAGTTCCACTAAAAAAAATCATTTAAAGACTTTTTTTAATTATTTTTTCCAACAGTTTTTCAAACAAAAGCTCAATGCAAAGGTGAGCAAAAATGATGAAATCACAAACAGCCCCTCGGGCAAACCTCACAGTCACTCGTGCCACTCGGGCATACCTCACAATCACTCATGCCTCCCAGTCACTCAGCACTCGGCACTCGCACTCAGTAGGTACCTGTGCTCACTGGAGGAGGGGAGTGTACAAACTCCGGAGGGGCTCCTTCAGCCCAAGCACTATAATCTGCACGGACAACTCACGTGCTATAATAATAAAGTATGCTGCAGGCGGGGCAGCCCCGATCCACACTCATCCTCACAAATCTGGCCCTCGGCCTCACTTAGTGATAAACCTCTCAAGCCACTCGGGCATTTAAGTAAAATAGGGAATTCGGCCCAAAATATTTATATGCATCAAAATAGAGTCATACAACTGAGTTATGCGGTAAACAAGTAAAAACATGACTGAGTATAGATTTTCAATCAAAAACAGTGAGAGAATGGTAAGAAACTGCCCCTAAGGGTCCAAACAGCTTTTGCGCAAGGCCCAAACATGGCATTCAGCCTAATTTACAGAAATTCTTTCTAAAACACATAAGTATCATATGGTTTGAACAAAGTATGCAACTTTACAGTTGCTACGGGGCGGACCAAGTCACAAAACCCCAACAGTGCATGCCCACACGCGCGTCACCTAGCATGTGCGTCACTTCAAAATAGTATAATGATACGAAATCCGGGGTTTCATACCCTCAGTACTAGATTTACAATCGTTATTTACCTCAAACCGCGAAATTCTTATTCTGCAATGCCTTTTTCTCATGAATTGGTCTCCAAACGCCTCAAATCTGGTCATAAATAATTCGTTTCAGTCAATAAAATTTATTGGAATTAATTCCACAAGATAATAATGATTTTTTCATAAAAATCCAAAAAATAGCTCAAAAATTGCCTGTGGGGCCCATGTCTCGGAACCCGACAAAAGTTACAAAATTTGAAAGCCCATTCAACCACGAGTCTAACCATACCTATTTACCAAAATCCGACCTCAACTCGACCCTCAAATCTACAAATCTTATTTCTAAATTTCTAAGTCCTAATCTCCGATGTACACCTCAAAATCATGTAATCTAGTCAGATTATTCGATGATAATTCAATATTATGGAGTAGAAATGATCACAAGGGACTTACCTCAAGTTTTCCTTGAAAATATATCAAAAAATCGCCTCTCCTCAAGCTCCAATTTATCAAAAATGGCAAATGGGACGAAGTCCCTATTTTTATAATTCTGCCCAGACAACCTTGATTTTGCCTCAATCTTGGCGTTCTCGATCTTAGCCCTCGATCCTTGTTCTAGATACTGGGCCTTCGATCGTGGCCCTCGACTCTGGGCTCGATCTGGGCTCGATTTCTGGACTCGATTCTGAGAGATTTCTGGGCTCGAATCTGGCAGAAGAAATTTCCAACAGAAGAAAATTGCAGCAGCTGCTCTAGTTCAATTTTTGATCCGTTAACCATCCGAAACTCATCCGAGGCCCTCAGGACCTCAACCAAATATACCAACAAGTCCTAAAACATCATACGAACTTAGTCGAATCCTCAAATCACCTCAAACAACGCTAAAATCATGAATTACACCCCAATTCTAGCCTAATGAACTTTGAAATTTCTAATTTCTACAAACAACTCTGGAACCTATCAAATCACGTGTGATTGACCTCAAATTTTGCACACAAGTTCTAAATGACAAAACAGATGTATTCCAATTTGTAGAATCGGATTCCGACCCCGATATCAAAAAGTCAACCCCTCCGGTCAAACTTCTCAAAAATAAAACTTTCGGCATTTCAAGCTTAATTCCTCTACGGACTTCCAAATAACATTCCGGACAAGCTCCTAAGCCCAAAATCACCATACGGAGCTATTGGAATCATCAAAATTCAAATCCGAGGTCGTTTACATATAGGTCCATATCCGGTCCACTTTTCTAACTTAAAATTTCAATTATGAGACTAAGTGTCTCATTTCACTCCGAGTTCCTTCCGGACTCGAACTCACTAACCCGATATAATATAATATAGCTGAATAACACAAAAAGAAATAGGAATGAAAAAAATGGAGTTATAACTCTCGAAACGATCGGCCGGTTCGTTACAATTAATTTATCTATTATTACGTGAAATCATAATCACAAATTCAACATTATTTATTTGAATATTCTATTCTAAATTTATTAGCCTTGTCTTTGTCGTCAGTAGTCCTTCTTGACAACAATCACGTGGTCAAGAAAATTTGAAGTACCAAACTTGTTTAAAATATTAGTCGGAATTTGTACCCGTACCCTATATTTGTGTCACCTTTTAATCTGTACCCTATTTTTAAAAATTATTGATTTGATAGCCAATTGATAAAAAATCCGTTATAATATGACACACTACAAGAAAAAGGATTATTAGGGACCAGTATTTAGCGATAAGTTTTTTATATGGTCCCTAAAAGTGTACTTATAGGGATAGAATTTTTTTTGGGTCTCTAATACCCAATTTTTTTTCTAAATACACTAGCAAACTTATTCTGGTCTATATAAAATTTAATATCTGGTCTCTAATACTCGGCTTCAGTGGGATAAGAGCGGGAATCTGAAAGTAAAGTAAAAAAATCCTCCAAAAATATATTTTCACTGTGAAATCCCGCTAGAAATTCACTTTCATCCTAAAATCTCCCCCAAAAAATCACTTACACGCTACAATCCCAGCAACTTCAATTCTCTTCAAAGTTCACAAAGGTTGCAAAATTCATCGGTCAGACCTCAGAAGCTTGCAAGATTCATCACTCCGAACTTTGGCGTCAAAATTTCGATCTCTCTCCAAGGGACTTTACACAAACTCTACTATTGGATTATCTGCCTAATCAATAAGTTTAATTTCTTTCTCTTTTATCTGTTTCGTTTCCTGTTTTCTTCTTCTTGCGTTTTTTTTATTGAACCAGAAATCGTAAATCGGGTTCTGTAATTTTCTGCTTCTTTAGTTGTTTTCTGCAATTGGGTTGTTTAGAGTACTGATAGTTATTGTGTGAGTGATAAAAGTGAGAGTATTGGTTTAAAGATGGGGCTCGTAGGTCAAGGAGGAGAAATTTGAGTTTTTCTTGTAGTGTTTCGTCTCTGCGATAGTTTTCTCCTTTGCGATTTGCATTATACAATTCTTCCGGGGACCTGCTTGAAGGGTCATGAGTTTGGCTCCCAGTAGGGTCGCTACTAGCAGCAAAAAATCTTGTTATCCCCTAACTCCATCGCTATGGGCTTATTCAATAAATAAAACCTGCAATTTAAAGAAAAATATGGAGACTTTAGTTGGAATTCAAATGATTTGAGATAAAATCTAGCAAAAATGGACTGAATAACATTGCAGAATTTAATGATAAAAAAATTTATATGTACACGCACTATGGAAAAGGGATGATAAGGCGATCTACTACTTCAGAAAAAGAGATGAATGGTGGTACTAGAAAAAAGAAAAGGAGAACCTGTGGTTTTGGTGGAAAGATTGATCGATAACTGCATCAAGAAAGATCCTTCACATTGCCCTGGTATGGATGAGATTGTCCAATTTCTTTCAACAATTATGACAGCCACATACTCTTGGGAAATGACATTTAGCATTTCAGTATCACTGCGTAGATTTCCCTAGATCAACTGAATGTAAGGTTTTCTTTTGTTTTTTGTTTTTCCTCCTCCCACGTCTCTCAACGAGTACGATTTGCCATGTTATTACTTTATTTATGGATTTTGAAGAGTTATTGCACCATTTACCCTACATAAATATCAGTTTAACATTTCAATCAAGCCACCTTGTTTTCTCTTGTTATGTTCTTTCTTGCTCTGTGTAATGCATGTAGTCCTCCTCTATGTTCTATAGATATTGCAGGGGATAAATAGGTCCTGGTCCAGTAAGGCAGTTCTTTTTGCTTTAAACTAACAAACTAGCGCGACTTCATACATAATAAAGGTTTTGCTAACTGATAAACCCCTCAAACAAAATAGCAAAAAGGACTAAACTTGCCTTAAAACATGGATGTAAGAAGCAACTTGCTGGCTTTCCTTGCAGTGGCAATGTATCACTGGCTCTGTCTTTTGTTTTTGCATCTCATATTGTTGGTAGCTATACAACTCGTGAACACAATAGAGTAACCTGGTTGTCAAGCCATCGTGTGTTGTGTTGAAGCCGTGGATTCAGTAAAACATCCATCAAGTATAAAGAAATGATAACTACTTAAAGTAATATACCTGTTTGTACGTTCCACTGATGCCACAACAATGGACTAGTCTAGCCGTATGAAAACCATTTATTAATACGATCATCTTTGGGTTCTAAAATTCATAGATGATTAACCATAAGGTATATGAAGACTTTTTGCACATGATGATGGCATATGTACGGGGTCAACCTGTGGAAAAAGTGGAAACACTGACAATAGCTTTCAAATCCAATGAGTAAATAAATATCTAGGAACACAATGAAGGCAAGGCCGGCTGCCTAGTTGTTTTATTTTTTAAACTTTATTTTATCTTATGTAAAGACCAAAAGGCTAGTGGTATTATTTTATTCATATTATTACTATTATTATTATTATTATTATTATTATTATTATTATTAGAAAGCGAGCACCCATGGAAATTTAGGTACCGGAATTAATACATATTCGAGCCTCTTGTAATAATGGATCTATGGGTGGTATATTAAGTTATGATCATTTTGGACTGAGACGGTCTTAAATGGCATGGGATGGATAGTGAGGATACAAATAGCGGATCCTAATTTGGTTGTGACGAAGCATAGTAGTTGTTTTTTTTACATTAAGTTGTGATAAGTTACAGTCTGCTATCTTTGTTGCTTTAGTTAAACAGTACCATTTGGCATATAATGATTTCAATTATCAGTTATCTATTCCTGGATTTATTGCAGAGGATGCCTTTAATAAGCAGCTGCATCTTAGTTTCTTACAAGACTTTACAAAGCAGAAAACATGCACTAGACCCGCTCATCAAGCTAGGTCAACAACTGATGATGCAATACAAAATTTTCTTAGACGATATTGCAAATAGACCACGAATCACCATTTTGAAACTTCCCTTATATGCTAGTAATTGTTTAATACTCGTTAAGTGTGGAAGGCTGCAATGGTTGTTAGATGAAAAGATCGTTGAACTAGAAAATTACTCCAGTTTATAAGTGGTCTACATCAGTGTGGTAGCATCAGTTTTTCAATGACATATGATGTTTGAATTTACACAGAAGACCATTTTAAGTTTTCACTTAACTTACAGAGCCCATAAGAGCATGAACCTCAACTTACTCAGTTGCCACTGCATCACTCTGAACCAATAGAATACTATGGAAAATTTTCTGCTTATTCTTTTCTTAAGTTTAAAGCACCTGAAGTAACAAGTATGCACCAATCTATTAAAATAAAAATCACATATCTTTGGCCTTCTAGTTGTACGAACTGACTTATCCTTGCTGCAATGCAAGCTTTCTATGCATCTAACCTTTAAGATAGAAACTCAGTAATTTAGCTATGAAGTATCTTATGTGTTTTACTTTCTCATTTTCTTAAGCAATTGTGTGTTATATGTTATGCATATCAACTTGTAGTTTATCTCATTCTTGTGAAATCGTAGGAAGTTTAGTCATAAAGATGAGTGTAACAAGTTTGATAACAAGTAATGTGCATCTTAGTACTCTTTTTTAAAGTAATGTGCATCTTAATACTTTTGTTATCTTAATTATTTAAACTTTTTTTTTATTTACTTCCAAGGTTATGGCACCAAGTAAGTAATGGATGCAACTTGTTGATAATCGACTTGATGAACCCTATTTAATTGGGGTGCAAAAGTTTTTGGATTATGCCTTTAGAAGAACAGGAGAATTGTATGAAATACGTTGTCGGTGTGTCAAATATTGTAACACAACATTAGGAACACGTGAGACAGTTGAGATACATTTAAAGGTATATGGAATAATTCGAAATTATACCTTTTGGTATCATCATGGTGAAGTTTTGGGTGAGCCACAGTCGGAATGCGAAGTTGAAGATGATAATGAAGTAGAAGATTATGAGGATGAGGATAAAATACATGAAATGCTGTGGGATTTGTATCCTAATCATGATGGAGGTACTGCAGACGTTAATTATAATGATTTACTTGGAGAGGAACCGAATGTTGAAGCCAAAAAGTTTTACAACCTATTGAAAGATTTCGAAAAGCCACTATACCAAAATTCGAAAATTTCAAAGCTTTCCACTTTGATTAAACTGCTTCACATAAAAAGTATGGGTCGTTGGAGCAATGAGTCATTTACAATGTTATTAAAAATGCTGAAGGATGAGTTGTTGCCTGATGGAGCGAATGTGCCAAATTCATATTATGAGTCAAAGAAGGTGATTCGGGACCTTGGGTTATCCTACTAAAAAATTGATGCTTGTATAAATGATTGCATGTTATATTGGAAGGAAAATAACTTACTTGATTCCTGTAAAGTCTGTGGTGCATCCAGATGGAAAACAGATAAACATAGCGGGGAAGCAAAGAATAAGAATGGTAAAAAAATAGCATCAAAGACGTTACACTATTTTTCATTGAAGCCTAGGCTTCAAAGGTTGTTTATGTCTACAAAGACATCTTTTCTAATGACATGGCATCATAATGAAAGAGTTGATGATAGAACAATGAGGCACCCAGCTGATTCAATGGCATGGAAATTATTTGATGAACTTCATCCCTCATTTGCGGCTGAGCCTCGTAATGTTCGACTTGGACTTGCTAGTGATAGATTCCAGCCATTTAGAAATTCAAAAACCTCATATAGTATTTGGCCTGTGGTACTTATTCCTTATAATTTACCACCTTGGTTATGTATGAAACAGCAAAATTTCATTATGTCCATGCTTATTCCTGTTCCCGATAGTCCAGGTGATACAATTGACATATATCTTCAACCCTTGATAGAGGAATTAAATGAGTTATGGGAAATTGGTAGTGAGACATTTGATGCATTAACTCGACAGAATTTTAAGTTACATGCTTCTTTGTTATGGACCATCAATGACTTTTCAGCATATGGAAATTTATCTGGATGGAGTACAAAAGGCAAATTAGCATGTCCATATTGCAACATTGACACTTCCTCAATCAGATTGAAGAATAGTAAGAAGCAATGTTTTATGTGTCATCGGCGTTACCTTCCTCTTAATCACAAATGGAGGAATGATAAGGAGTCATTTGATGGCACAAAAGATAAAAGGCTCCCACCAAAAATGCGTTATGGTATTGAGATACTTAATCAAGTGGAAGATCTTAAAGGGTTCCAATTGACAAAGGATCCAAAGAAAAGGATCAAGATATCACATGATGTTCGAAAAGATAATTGGAATAAGAGGAGTATCTTTTTTGAACTTCCATACGGGAAATCTCTCTTGTTGCGACATAATTTGGATGTTATGCATATCGAAAAAAATATTTGTGATAATATTTTGGGGATGATAATGAATGCCAAAGGAAAGACCAAGGATACCATTAAAACTCGACTAGATTTGCAAGAAATGAACATTAGACCGGAATTGCACCCTATTAAAAATGGAGAAAAATATGAAGTTCCAACTGCATGTTATACATTATCTCCCCAAGAAAAGCACAACATATGCCTTTTCTTAAAGAATTTAAAGGTTCCAGATGGATTTTCATCTAATATTTCTCAATGTGTTTACTTGAAAGAGCACAGGATTTCTGGCTTAAAGAGTCATGATTGTCATGTTCTTCTACAACATTTACTCCCTCTTGCACTACGTGGTATGTTGTCTAAAACAGTGTGTGAACCCCTTATCGAGTTGTCTTTATTTTTTAATGTGCTGGGAGCAAAGGTATTAAGGACTAATGACTTGGATCAGATTGAAGCTCAAATTCCTATAACTCTTTGCAAGTTAGAAAAGGTCTTCTCTCCTTCATTTTTTGATGTCATGGTGCACTTGCCTACTCACTTAGCTAATGAAATTAAGCTTGCTGGACCTGTTCAGTATCGGTGGATGTATCCTATAGAACGATGGTTATATTTTTTGAAATCTCTCATTGGTAATAGGGCTTGTCCAGAATGTTCCATTGCAGAGGGTTACCTTGCAAATGAATGTATGACCTTATGTTCATTGTATCTGCATAGAATCGACACAAAGTTTAATCGGCCAGAACGAAATTATGATGGTGGTTTAAAAAATTCCGATGGAGGTTTATCTTTATTTTGTAAATCTGGAAAAACTTTAGGAGCTCCAAAACATCATGATCTTGAAGCAGATGAATTAGAGCAAGCACATATATACATACTGAAGAATTGTTATGAAGTTCTACCATTTCTAGAGTATGAAATTTTTTCTTCATATCATATTTTGTTTTCCTTGTTTCCTGTAGGATTATTTCTCCTTTATGTATGACATTTGTGGTTCGATTAAAATTTGTAGAGAGTTTGCACAAATTCATATAGATTCTACTCAACACTTGTCTGATACAGAATGGAACAGACAATTTATCGAATGTTTAAAGATAGAGTGAGTAATATATACATATCAAATTTGAAAATCAAATATTATATTGCTCATTCTAAAGTAATCAACTTTATCTCGTTGATAGGTTGCACAATTGTATAAAGGAGATGATAGTCTGCTCATGGAAGATCTCCTTGCACTTTCACGTGGTCCTACCCAATATGTATTACATTATAATGGCTACATTGTTAATGGATTTAGATTTCATGTAGAAGATTATGATAAATATTTAAGGACTCAAAATTGTGGTGTGGTTGTTGTCGGTGAGACTGGTGAACATAGTGAGAATATTGATTACTATGGAGTTTTAACTGATGTTCTTGAATTGCAATTCACCAGAAGAAGAGTGATTTTATTTTAATGTAATTGGTTTGATGCGTATGATAAAAAGAAAGGAATTAAAATAGATGAATATGGCATTGTCAGTGTTAATTGGGGACGGTTTTTGAAAACAAATAAGCCTTTTATATTAGCGGACCAGGCATATCAAGTATTTTATGCTAATGATAATTCCAATAAGGGTTGGCGTGTAGCAAGAAAGACGCAACCTCGTGATTCCTATTAGATCTTGCAATAAATGGATGGTGATGTTGTAGATTTAAAAAATCCTACACAAAATAAACGAAAAAGAACAACTGAGGTGAAGTATCTCTTTATGCCATTACCATATTCATATTGGTATGCATTTTGATTACATGATCTTTTTGTTAGTACATTATTGTTATAATGTCTTAATTTGTTTTTTTGTAGGTTTGATATGAAACCTTCAAAGAATGAAAATGAGATGGCATCCACTGTGAAAACCACTACCAAATATGCATTTGTTGCACCAGGTGCTATAGGGAAGGGACGAGGGAGAGGGCTTAAATCTATATACTCTTTAGGGGTATCTGGACCAGATATTCTATCCTCTCAGTCTACTGATCAAGTTATGCAGTACAACCAAATTGTTGAAACGAGTATGGTTTCTCAAATTTATTTTGTTATCAATTTGTACACTTAAATTTTAGTGCTAAACTTTTTACTAACATGATTTTCTTTTACCAGGTGCAGTAGTGAAGGGACAAGGGCGAGGGCTTAGATCTATGTGTTCTTTAGGGGTATCTGGACTGGGACCAACGAATAAAAATTCATTGGTTCTTGAGAAAGGGCATGTGCAAACTGATATTCCATCTTTTTCATCTACTGATGATGTTATGCAATACATCCAACAAAAGTCAATGAGTAGGGTTTCTAAAAGCTATTATCTTTTAGAATAAAATTTGTAATTATTTAGATTTGATTTTCTTTACTAATGTGATTTCCTGCACCAGGTGCTCTAGGGAAGGGACGAGGGCAAGAACTTAGATCTATATGCTCCCTTGAAGAGTATGAAAATGAGGAGCGATCCTTCCATCAGAATGCTCATTATGCCAGTCAAAGTATGTCAAGACCTTCTAAGAGCACCATGTTTGCTGCTCAAGGATTGCGAACAATGAATAAAAACCCTTTGGTTCATGACAAAGAGAATGTGAAAACTAATATTCTGTTTTCTCCTTCTGATGATCAAGTTATGCAATCCACCCAAAAAGTGAAAACAAGTATGTGTTTTTTTCGATTGAGACATTTAGTATAGTTGTGAATGTAGATTGTTTAGTTGATGATAATGACTGCTTGGTGTATGTCTTTTTCTGTATTCTGTTGTTTGCGTCATGCTTTTACATCACTCTGGACTGGCCAAAATTTGTCCAAGTACATGACTGTTAGGATGCCAAATGATCCACCTTCCTATGAATGATATAATATATGTTGACCAATGGTTTTTCAGTTCATTTTAGGAGTTACTTCCTATTGGCATGTTGAGGATCAGAACCAGAATAGTGAAAAATGGTCTCGTTCACTTCTCATCTATCTATGTGGACAACACCAAAGATATGTCAAAATTGTTCATTGATAGATGGTTTTTATAGTTCTTGTACTTGGTAATTATATTGCTTTGCTAAGGTGTTGAGCACATGATATCTTGTGGTTGTCCTAGTTATTAAGATAGTTATAGGCTATGCATCAGGTTAAAGGTTGTAGGATCTATTTGGTACACTCACTGACCTTTTTCCATAACAATGCTTTCCTATTTCAAGTGTTGGTCTTGAAAATGTTCTGTAGTAAAATAATGAAAACAGCTTGCGGCGTAATATGCTGTAACTTCTCAATTCTATTCTTTTTTTAACTGAATTTACTTTAATATNCTTGCGGCGTAATATGCTGTAACTTCTCAATTCAATTCTTTTTTTTAACTGAATTTACTTTAATACCAAACTTTTAGTAATATGATTTCTTACATCAGGTACTCTAGGGAAAGGACGAAGGCGAGAGCTTAGATCTATGTGCTCCTTTGAAGAGTCTGAAAATGAGGAACGATCCTTTCATCATAATGCTCATTATGCAAGTCAAAGCATGTCAAGACCTTCTAAGAGTACAAGATTAGACACAACCATGTTTTCCGCTCAAGGAGTGCAAACAAAGAATAAAAACTCTTTGGTTCATGACAAAGAGAATATGCAAACTGATATTCCATTTTCTCCTTCTATTGATCAAGTTATGCAGTCCACCCAAACAGTTGAAACAAGTACGGTTTCTCAAATCTATTTGATCACATGTTTATCATGTTATAATATTTTCTGATATTTATAATTAAGCAAATGTAGGTTCATGTACTGCTAAAAAGGTAAAAAAAAAAAAGGTTCGAGGAAGTAACAAGTGCAAAGAAGTTGCATCACTTAAAGTTGGAGAGAAGCTAAAAGTAACATTTTACAATAATCGAACAGTTGGAAAGAATAGCAATCTATTTTCGAGGCACTTGGGAAAAATAGTTCGTGACCGTAATATATGTCCGCTGGGAGTATCATCATGGGATCGTATTAAGGAGAAAAAGTTAAATCATATGTGGGCAGCTGTTACGATAACTGGATGGATTATTCTAATTTATTCTTTTATTCCTCTTTTCTTACCATTCTTGGTACTTAATTATTGAGTTCTTATCACGTTTTTCACTAAAATATAATAAAATTGTGAGTTTTATGTTTTAAATTCACAAAAATAAAATAAAGCTAATTTATTTTTAAAAAATAATTTGGCCGGATCATTTCAAGACTGATTGTAGAACTATATTTTCTTCTATCACATGGAGTTTCTGTGATGATATTGGATATCAACCTATATTATCCTCATGATATATTGCAGGATAAATTTGAGAGTGATGACATGGATATTCATCGCAATCATATTTTAGGATGGATGAAAGAGTTATAGAACAAATGGAGAAGACAATTGCATACAAAGTATGTGAAGGGTAAGCCAATACATGAGGCTCTTAAGAATGTGCCCAAGGGGGTAGACAAGAAACAATGGGAGTAGTTGGTAAAGGAACATTTTTCTACTGAAAGTTTTCAGGTTTGACATAATACCTAGTTGTGTAATTTTATTTTATACTATTATCTTTTAACTGATAATTTATTTATAGCATTTGAATTTAATATTGTTACTCAAATATAGGCGAGAAGTAACAGGAATGCAGCAAATAGAACTAAGTTGAAGATGCTTCATCATATTGGTAGCAAGCCAATTAGAGAGATTATTTATCAAAAGGTGTTATCATCAAATCTATTTTTTCTTAATATTGGCGAGACGTTATTTGACATATTTACTTTTATGTAAAGGGCGGGAAAGATGGCAAACCACCGGATTTGGCAACTATTTTCTTCGAGACTCGCAAGAAGAATAACACACTTGTTGATTCTGAAACAATCGAAAAACATGTGCGTTTGGTTAATTGAACAAGTTCTTTACTTTTAGTTATTATAGGATCTAACAAAAATCTCTCTATATACTTTGTAGGCTCAAATCAAGGAATTGGTGCAGTGCGAACCGTCACTTCCTAGCATAGAGATTGTAGAAAAATGCTTTGGACCTCAAAGTCGTAGTCATGTATTTGGCTTCGGGGGTGGATTAAAGGCGAAAGATTTGAAAGGTGGAACTTCCTCAAAAGCTAAATTATTGGCTAAGCTACGTTCAAATCAAAATGAAAATCAGTCTTTGAAGGATCGTTTGTCTAACTTTGAAAATGAGATGAAAGAACTGAAGCAATTATTTTTAGCGCAACAGCCTCCAGTTTAGGAAAATGACTATTCGGATCCTTGATGATACCAAGTGAGTAACAACTTACCCTAAACATCAATTTATTTTGTTTATTTAAGTGTATGTTATTATATATCATTTGCGAAATTTATATCTTCCATTGATTACGAGTTTGCTGGTTGTGCATAGGGAAACAATTTGCAATAATAATTATAATTATATGCAACAATATTTAGTTAAACATTGAGAAATTCAGGTAGATTGAAAATATTAAACAACGCTGAATTTTCAGTCTACAATTTGCTAAACATTGGTTGAAGGAGAGATTTCCCCATTCAACTCTTAAAAACAACTCAAAGAAGGAAAAGGAAGTAGGTTGAAACTACTACTAACAATCAACTGTACAGTTAACAAGGATCAATATCCATCGGTCTCTATCTCGTATATTATCGCTGCCAGAATCTGTTAAGATGGTAAGCCTTCTAGCGGTCTTCACAAACTGACTGCAATAGCAAAAAGCTCGCGAAAGGACAATGTCAATAACTGCCCATGTGAACATTATTAAAACGAACATAAAGGAATATGTGGCTTAGAACTTCACCTGAATGGTTCGTCTCCAACACTGATAGGTTAGTTTTTCTACAGGATAGTTCTCCATACTTGTTAGGAGCTTTTACATTTGGCATCTGTTTGTTACTGTATAGCTCTTCATTGATTTAGGATATGAATTTGGTCAACATCGTAGTGATGTATTTATACTGTACATTAGACAGCCATTAAGTGCATTAAACAACGTAATTCATGTTCTGAAATTACTAGAAATACTAAATTTGTTTCGAAAAGGCTCCCTTCCTATTAGGAAATTGATGTCATAAATATTAAATATCATTCTAGCAATTGAAATACTCAGCTCATTGGCAGTGCAGTGCCACCTAAATTAAACAACTATCTTATTGAATGTCATTGAGCTTCTTAACAGTCGGAACATAATCTTATACAGTAACATCTTCCTAACCGTTTTGAAATGCAAAAGTATTTTCATCCTGCATCTTTTCAGTAATTTCTAAGCATGTTTCTTTTATTTACATAGTTTTCATACAAGAAACTGGTCAAAGATGCCATCAAAAGAAAAAGTAGGATAAATTCTGGAAGGAGGTTAAAAAAGAAAAACAGGACATTAAGCATCGCAAAGTTCACACAGAAAAATTGAGATTTTACTTTCATACTTGATCAGATAACATGTATCAACATTCACCAAAGGGTAAATCATTTTCTAGCCTTTTGACTTGATGGCTGAGAAAGGGTAAATCATTTTCTCTAAGGTGCTTCACTAGCTATATAATGATGTATTAATTTGTCCGCCGCCAGATATTTACTGGGAGATCTTAATTGGCAGATTAAGTGCTTCTAGCCGTTAAAACTATTTACCACCAAATTCTCACTATTGCTTTGATTAGTCCAACCAAGTCTCTAGAATGCATACACTAGGCACCAAACANGTTTACAAGCATACAGAAAGATGCGTATAACAACTGCAGGTTTTGTTCCATCCACAGTGTTATAATTTTTCTAAATGATTTTTTTTCTTCTACAGGTTTTGGATATTGAAGTTTACAAGAAGATTTTTGACGACATACAGATTGACCATCTTTTTTATGGGAATGTCAAGAAAATTTTACATTACAATCGAGGAATATTAGTGATATGTAGTTTTTTTACTAAGGGTTTATGAACACAATATTATGACTAGCTTACATAATTGATGTAATGTGCAAGTAACTCATGTTAATCATTTTTGATAATTATTATATGAAAACAATATCAGTTTTATATTAATTACCAGATTTTCTAGTTGCAAGTTGAATGTGATTTAGGGACTTGACTTGTTTCTTTAGGGACTAGATTATTAGTCCTTAAATCATTTTTAGAAGTAGAAAATTTGGTTGTTAAATCTGTAGCTTTGTAGTGCTGGCATGTTCGACTTAAGGACCAGTCGCGAAAGATGTAACGTCCAGTTTTTAAATGGTCGCGAAACGTTTTAACGACCAGATTTAAGCTATTCGCAAAAACATTTTAAGGACCAGGAATTTAGTCCCTAAAATATGCAAATAGGCACTAAAAACATGGTCCTTAAAAAACATTTAAGGGCCAGTTTTAAACTGGTCGTGAAACAGTTTTAACGACCAACTCTCTATCTCGTCCTTGATGACCTTTAGCGGCGGAAGCTATAAGGGCCAGATTGGCTGGTCGCTATTGAACATTAGGGACCAATTCCTTACTTTTAGGGACTCGTTTTCCCTTCGCTATTAAGTATTTTTCTCGTAGTGACAATTACACCCCTGATATTATTAGCATTAACATGCTACTTTGGAGATGACCTCATTCGCATTAGCATACTGTAAAACAAGTCCTGATAAACATAGCAGCATGGTAACGTTTGGACTTTGGAGATGACGTTGTTTTACAGTACCAGGTGTTATTCATTAGCATGCGAGATGGTGTAAAACTTCAGCCAATTACAGTAGCAGCTGAAGTTGTTTTACATTGAAACTAAAACTTAATGCTAATGCATGCGGGAGAGATATTAACTTATCTATTATTACGTGAAATCATAATCACAAATTCAACATTATTTATTTGAATATTCTATTCTAAATTTATTAGCCCTGTCTTTGTCCTCAGTAGTCCTTCTTGACAACAATCACGTGGTCAAGAAAATTTGAAGTACCAAACTTGTTTAAAATATTAGCCGGAATTTGCACTCGTACCCTATATTTGTGTCACCTTTTAACCTGTACCTTATTTTTAAAATTAATTAATTTGATAGCCAATTGATAAAAAATTCGTAATAATATGACAATTACACCCCTGATATTATTAGCATTAGCATGCTACTTTGGAGATGACCTCATTCTCATTAGCATACTGTAAAACAAGCCCCGATAAACATAGCAGCATGCTAACGTTTGGACTTTGGAGATGACGTTATTTTACAGTACCATGTGTTATTTATTAGCATGCGGGATGGTGTAAAACTTCAGCCAATTACAGTAGCAGCTGAAGTTGTTTTACATTGAAGCTAAAAGTTCATGCTAATGCATGCTGAAGTTATTTATCCTGCAGTCAACAATTTTGTCATGAGTTTTATTCAAAATTTCAGTCTAAACATGCTGAAGTTATTTATCCTGCAGTCAACAATTTTGTCATGAGTTTTATTCAAAATTTCAGTCTAAACATGCTGAAGTTACTTAGTTCATTTGCTAAAATTTCAGACTAAACATGCTGAAGATATTTAGTTTATTTGCTAAAACTTTAGTTTAAACATGCTGAAGTTATTTAGTTCATTTGTGAAAACTTCAGACTAAACATGCTGAAGTTATTTAGTTCATTTGTGAAAACTTCAGACTAAACATCCTTAAGTTTTTGTCTTGCAATATGTAATTTTCTAATGAGTTTTTGCTAATGCATGCTGAAATTATTTAGTTCATTTGCTAAAACTTCAGACTAAACATGCTTAAGTTATTTAGTTTATTTGCTAAAACTTCATACTAAACATGCTTAAGTTATTTAGTTCATTTGTTAAAATTTCAGACTAAACATGCTTAAGTTATTTAGTTCATTTGCTAAAACTTGAGACTAAACATGCTGAAGTTATTTAGTTCATTTTCGAAAATTTCAGACTAAACATGCATAAGTTTTTATCTTGCAATACAGACTAAACATGCTTAAGTTATTTAGTTCATTTGCTAAAACTTGAGACTAAACATGCTGAAGTTATTTAGTTCATTTGCGAAAATTTCAGACTAAACATGCATAAGTTTTTATCTTGCAATACAGACTAAACATGCTTAAGTTATTTAGTTCATTTGCTAAAATTTCAGACTAAACATGCTAAAATTATTTAGTTCATTTGCGAAAACTTTAGACTAAACATGCTTAAGATTTTGTCTTGCAATATGTAATTTTCTAATGAGTTTTTGCTAATGCATGCTGAAGTTATTTAGTTCATTTGCTAAAACTTCATGCCAAAACATGCTGAAGTGTTGTACTGCAGTCTGCAGTTTTGTCAATAGTCCTGAAGGGCAAAATCGTCTTTTTAAAATGCTTTTAACAAAAAAATGGGTACGGATACAAACGGAAAAATAAAACGGGTATAAGTTAAAAGAAAACGACCAAATAGGACGCCCCGTGCAATTTTTACGTAAGAAAGGAAAGTATCATTTTCGCATTATATAATAATGTAATAAATTCTACCAAAAGACATGCTCTTATACCAAAATTTTGTTATCCATTAACGCTAT